TGAAACTTGCACTGTAACTAATACAGCGAATTTGCTGTATAATGTTATGCTGACGCACTAAACATCTCATCCATCTTGAATCGGAAAACATGAATCGAAGGGGCAGACGAGAGGATCGGATTTGTGACAATTTGCTGGTAATTTTGGTATTATCACATTCGGAATTCAGTTATCATCATTACAACAATGTCACATAATATCATGTACATGCATATAAGCATCGTTTAGCGTTGATACACTATTCATTCATGCAACATATCCCTCTGATGTATTCATATTTAAATACAATATATATTTCAAGTGTATATTTTCCGTAAAACATAAGTTGTAATAGCTAAATTTGAAAAGCATTAAAATAAAAACGTTTTAAATTAAATAAGGACAAAGGATTCTTAATGCTCGAAACAATCAAAATTATTAGAAAGAGCGTGTAAGAGTCAAATATCAAATTTAATTAAATCCAACATATAAAATATAAAAACATTTCGTTTTTACATTAACTAACATAAACTAAGTCGTCAAAGAGAGTTTATAAAAATTAATATAAAAAAAGATAATTTTCTCTTTAATTTTCGTAAAGTTAAGAAATTTGATATCTCATATGACTGACATAACATAATAGGAAATAATGATTTTGTAAGAATGATGCAATTTTGCATAGAAACATCTTTCGTACGCTTGCCCCTTCATTCGTAAGTTATCGAGAAAGATTTGTCTTTATTTGCCAATATACGAAATACATGAAACGGTTTCACAAATGCAGTTTGCATCGTGAAACGATCTCGTTTGGCGCTTTCGGGACATGAAGGTGAATGTCTAGCGATGATCGTTAAATCACGGTCGCCGTTTGACTTCTCTTGAAGCAGCGGAATATTTGCCGTTCGGGAACACACACACACACACACACACACACACACACACACACACACACACACACAGACACACACACAGACAGACACACACATATTCGAGCTTAAGATCTTCCCTGAAGTTCCCCACAAATGTATACGTCGCCGCCCCTTACCTAGAAATATCTTTCTTAACCCACGTTCCTACCTCACATAGAAGACCGCCCCGTTTCCATATTTGCGAAGAGGGTGGCTTAACCGACAAATGTTTTTCGGACATTGGAAATACATTGAGGGAGTAAGAGTGAGGAACGGGGGTGACGAAGAATTCTTTATGGCGATCAATCATCGCGGATGATATCCACTTTTCCTTCTACCACCATGCCTCGTGAACTGTACGCAATAAGAAATACAAACTAGGAGATCGGGAACGAGCGAAGAGGATGGAAAGGTAGCCGCGGGGGTGATCCCGAAATGTTATTCAAATGCGTTAAGTAGAGGGTGTCGAGGAAAATTGGAAACGATTCTGGAAGTATCGAGCACATCCCTGGAGGAAAGCGAGGATCGGATCGAAAAAGGAAATAGTAGGAGAAACAGGGGGAGGACAGGCTTTTTGAGGGATGGGCCAACGTCCGAAAAACATTATACATTATTTATGAATTCTCTTCCCACCCATATATTGTTCTAAAAGTCGATGTACGTAGATCTGAATTTCTCAAGACAATAGGAACCGCATTTCCATTTTTAAGCATTTTCTGAAGCAAATCTGAAGCGTTATTGTTGGATGACACTATCCTCAATTAATTTCGCTAATTAATTTCGATCGCGACGGGGCACCGATCGCAGTTTGTCCGACGTTAACGACGTGACGCGTCATTACTGCTTTACATGCTTGACATGAGGAGCAGCAAGCCACGTGGAAGGGTTAAAATTACGTGGGATAGAAGGGTGCACAGTTTCGATTACAATTGCTTTCCGCGAAATAAAATGTGCGGACATTTATCAGGCGAAAAATAACGAAAGCAAGCAAACGCAAGCACACGAGTGATAAATAATACATGTTAAGAAAAGTGAGGAAATGTTTTAAAAGCGTTATATAAGTTTTACATAATAGTTTATATTAAAAGAGCAGATAAATCGCGCAATAAAGGAGACCTAAAGGAGATTAAAATTGATATCTCTCTCTATGTAGAAAGCTTTGAAAGAGGAGAATGATAATAATAATTTTACTTAATAATAAATCCATTGAAAATCAACTTAAGATACAATTGTTGATGAAACTGAGGTTTTTGCAAAAGAAATAATTCTTTTGTATAAATAATATTTTTTATCGCTAACTTGAAAGAAATAGAAAATAGAATATGTTTTTGAAGATATCGATGAAAACGTCATGGCTTTTTTTTACAAGGTTTTATGCTAGTTTTCATTTTATCTTTTAGAACGTTATGGTTTTTTATATGGTTTTATCTGGTTTTCATTTTATATGGTTTTCATTTTAACTATTCGGTTTGGCTGCGTAGTGAAGTTTCAATATTATTAAACTCATATTTATATATATATATTACATTCAATACATTTAAACTGCTGCCTTGTTTCAAATTTTATATAATCAATCAAAATCAAATAAAATTTACGACGTAAAATAGCAAATAAATATCAGTAAAAATACAGATAATAATTTAATATTGTTAAAAGGAAAGTTTACAGAGACAAATCGGAACAGAGATAAGAGATCGGATAAGAGATTGATAATTTACGGGAGGGGGGGGGATTACAAACTAATGATTTACTATCCTTTAATTCTGTCCATCGAGCTTTAGGATAGGCAATCGTCATATTGAATTGCGATAGAAAAGAAATGCATTTCCCTCAAACGTAATTAAATGCGATCTGTGATTTTATTTCGCAAATACATTATGAAGAAGACTCGACTTTGAAAGGTTCGCCCATGAACTATCCACTTCGGTTTCAACAAATCGATGTCGAAAGATGGACGTGCTCATTTCATGTATGTAGATACTCTATTAGTCGCTGCAGTCAGTGTATGTCAATAGCAGAATGCGTGTATGTTGTGTACGTGGGCGTCCGTGTGTGTGTGTATGTGTGTGTGTGTGTATTTACATGTGTTGTATGTGTATATATTAAAGTGGACCGCGATGCGGTCCCTCGCGTATCATTGTCAATCGATACGTACTTGTTACCCTTGCCAGATATCAACAATGACATTTTACCCCGCTCCACACATTTTATATCGCGATCGATTTCACGAACCGTTGACCGCGCCAAACAGCTTTGTACAGTTTGAACTCAATTTTAGTGACATCATCGATTTTCAAAATATTGATGTGTATTTACAAAATATATATAATATTGGTTTTACTGTACGCTCTCCCTACACAATTTTGGCTAATAAACGCTGTAAAAGTAAAAGTATTCCTCTGATAACTTTTATCGGCTATTTCAATATTTAGTGGTATTTACTGATGAATTCGGACATTGATTGGATATTTGCTTTTATTGAGATTGCTATTGGGATATATTCGTTATTGAAAGGAATGATTGATTTCACATATAGTGGCTTACCAAAGTATCCAAACGGTAATACGCCTATATTAAATCGAATAAAATCGTTCGAATACTTTCACGAGGCATTTTGCACCCGGCGTAATCTATGCACATTTTTTCCCCCCTCTATTTTACCTTTACATATTCTCATTCATATATACATATCAATATTTTGAGATTTTGAATTCTTTAAAAATGATACCCACAGCACAAGGGAGAATCAATAGTGCACCGTAGCTATAACAGCTCAATAAATTCCGAATCCACGGATAGCACAACACACTTTTTCGCAAACACTCGATGATTTATTGTCTACCGCAGAACGAGAAAGAGAATAGATTATTTATATCCTTTGGAATCTATTGTTTCTTTAAAAAATATTATTTTAAAATATATAGTAGAATAGTAATGTATTGTATTGTATAATAAAATAATCGTGATAAAATCTGTCGAATATTCTGTTAATTAATACAAAGATAAATATAGAAATATAAAGAGAATATTAAACGAGATGTTATTAATATTGAGACTAACAAATCTTTCCTTGATACCCTTAAACCTTAAAACGATGTGGTATAACTTTGATATAGTAATTATTTATCAATTTGTACGATTCTCATCGCTGACTGCCGCTTGATAGTGTTCTCGTTATAAAAAAATACGCGAAACCAACAGTGCGACAGATATCGAATAAGCACACTCCAATAATGTACAAACTTTTTCAGTTTCAAAGAGAAGCGAGTCGATATCGCAGCCGAGCCAGCCGTCGTGTCGGCCAAGCTGACACTCTCTTTGCTAGATATTAATAATTTATCTCCGAATATCCTGTAACTAGGCGAAGTTTCTCATGGCTCAACATTTTCAACCCCGTTTTCTCTTCGTCTATTCCATCGTGGCTCTCTCTCTCTCTCTCTCTCTCTCTCTCGCTATCGAGAGCTGCAAAAACTTTGTAAAATCAGAACTAATTCTCCCGGTTTTAAAGAGAAATCATGCTTTGAAGAATCTCTCGTCATCCATTCCTGTTATTTTTCTTGCAAATAGCAACGCGTGTTCGGCGGAACCTGCTTGCGTTCCGGGCGTCGGCGTCGCGTCATCGCATCGTCCAGTTCGAGAATTCGTGATCCCGGAACGGAGAGTCGCTTTGTCCCTCGCGAAAGTTTAGTGTACGTCTCTGCGGAGGATCGTCAGCTAGAAATCCTCAAGTATCGCACGCGTGTCTTTGCTTTCAAACCGCCCGAATCACTCTCGGGAAACATGGGGGCTATCTCTCACTTTGTTGATTTTCGCGTCGCAACACGCTCTCTCGCCGCGATGGGATCGGATGGACCAAGCGACAGCAAGTCAGTTAGCGTATAGCGATGGGTTAGAGTGCGCGCACAGCTTCGTTATCGGTATCGTTAATCAGTGAGTTAGTTCACAGAGGCATGGCGTTGTAGAGGTCCAGATTGGGATGGTAAAATAGCGGTGTCGGAGTGGGCGGGTTATGATGGGGCGCGGGCTGCGCCTGTATGAGGTTCAAGTTCAAGTTCAGGGGCGCGATGTGGGCCGCATTGTGGTGGTTAAGGTGGTTAAGGCTAAGGTGGTTACCTGTCGGGTAGGGTAATCCGAAACTAGGGTACCCAGAATAGCCGCGGCCCGCCGCGTATGCCGCGTACGCTGCCGCTGGGAAACCTGCGAACACAACGAAAATTTCCGTTACACTCCTCGTTACAGCTCACTAGTCCTCTTAGCATTTGGGACAACGTAATCGTTCGCGATAATTTTTGTAAACGCTGATAAGCATAAGAAAATTCTTAGTTTTTTCGCACTTCTTGTAACATTATTTCTTGTAACTAAATATTTTTCAACGTGAAAACGTATAATTTTATTTTTGGTACCGTGATACAGATGTAGATTAAGATTGTTTTTTATTTTTCCATGTCCTCGAGATTTAAACCATTTAAGTTTCAGTATTATCTTTATAAAAGATATTTATAAAGATAAAAATTTATTTTTTTGCAAAAAAGCAAAAATCAGTAATGAAAAGTCTCATGTCAAAATATCTATTATTATATTCAATTCAATTTGACAAACAAAAGTTTAAAAGACTTATCTTATTTTTATAGGAAAACTTATAAAGTTATTAAAGAACTAAAACTATTAAAAAACTTTCTTAATATTTTGCAAATTATATATATAGTTCACAAATATATTCATTAAATTATCGATAAGAATTCCTTGAAAATATCGAAAATTTATTTACTCGGTTAATTAGAAAACTAGCTTAAAACAGCAGTAAAACTTGGCAGGACTAAATTAGCAAAAATTAAATTGAACCTATCGGATTATAGATTATACTGTTAATGAGACAATTTTATACTGTGTGCCATTTCGAAAAAAAACGTGGTGTTGCTAGTTTAATATTAAGAGGATCATAAAATCGTCTGTATCATCGACTAAATCATATAATTTTTGTATAACAATTACTTTTTTTCTTCTCTGATTTGAACATCCTTTTCCAGGATTAAAGTATACGTATTAATACGTACCTGTAAGATGGAGTCTATCAGCATAGGCTGAGAATGGCAAAAACATTTTGAAATTGAGATCATCTTTACCATTTCTAAGTTCTTTCCAATATGGCGTTCCAGAACTGTCACGTCGTGACAACATTTACTTCATATAAAATCCGTACAATCTGTACTTACGAAATAATAGTCCATAGACTAGTAATTTGTATGAAGAAACAGCGTGAAGTTCTTAAAATTGGACTTATACGTCTAATTAAAACATAATTGTTATACAAAAATTTATATGTATGTGTGGCATGCATGAGTGAGATATTGATGTAGTGATGTGTCAATGATACGTAAATCGTTTGTGTGTAAGTGCTATTTACTATGATTAATTTTCAAGATTTCCTTAAGTTGGCAGGACCAATTCAAAATAAAGAAAAAGAAAAAAATTATATCAGAAATCAATTGGATTGGATTTCTACTAATCCTGTATTACTAAGAACAATTTTCTATTATGTGTTATTTCTAAGAAAACAGTGACATTGCTAGCTTAATACATAAGCCGGCAGAACTATAACAAAATAAAACAAGGGCAAATGAACAAAACTGAATTTGTACTAATTTGTACTAAAAATTTGTACTGAAAGTAAGTTAAAATTTTATATTTTTTTTCTTCGTAAAATGACTTTATTAGTATATACTTACAATCTATACATTATCCCAGCAATAAAACCTAATCAGTAATACTATTCTTTGAGCCGTCTCCAATTTGGTTCAAGTGGTATTTTTTATTTAGTATTTGGAATGTAGAATTACGTAGAAAAGGAATTATGTGCTGAGGGAATCATTGAAAGTTCTGGTGAATCGTTATTTTTCAGTGAAAATCGAAAAATCTGTATATTCTTATGTTATATAAGCCATAAATTGAGTGAATACTAGCAATTTTGGTCTTTTCTCGCCCTACTTGTGACAGAGAAAAATTTCATTTTTTATTGAATACAAAATATTTTTTATATAAATTTTATACCAAATAATTGATAAATAAAACAGACGATATTTTATTATTTTTTAAATCAAATTTTATTTTATTTTATTTTATTTTTAAACCAAATTTAAATTCTTCGTTTTTGACATATACATTTCGAGAGAACATGAGAAAGGTAATATGATTGAAGAAAGTGTACAATCACTGTGAGAAAGTAATTATATAAGGATTTACAGATTTTCCAATTTTCACTGAAAAATAACGATTCACCATAACATTGAATGATTCCCTCAGCACATAATTCCTTTTCTACGTGATTTTACATTCCAAATACTAAATAAAAGACGCTACATGATCGAAATTGGAGGCGGCCCAAAGAATAGTGTTACTATTAAGTGAAGCTGACACTCAAATTTAAGAAAAAAAATAGTTTAATGTAAATTAAATTAAGTTAGATTCGTAACTGTTTGTATTACTTTCTTTTGTATTTATATCTTAAGGAGTTTAAAAATATAAAAGGTTGAAAAAATGCTAGCACTCCACTTTGAGATATTTTAAATTCACAAGTGGATTTGAAATTTTTGTGATATTTCAGATTGAAACTAGTACAAACGATTCCAAAACAGCACATGCTTGTAGATTTAAAATATCTTCGGAAATGGCGCAGCCAGCTCTCAATCTATTTTTGAAATATCGGTACAATCATCCCCTTAAGGGGGATCGAAATCGATTGTGATACAATTGGATATAAATGGTTACAAAGAAGCATCCGCTTGCGGATTTAAAATAACTTCAAAAACAACAAAGTTAGCTCTCACTTCTATATTAAAATTTTGGTACAATCATTCTCTTAAGGAATGTGTGTGAAACCGATTATAGTACAATCGATTACAAATAATTACGAGACAACGCCCGTTTACGATTTAAAATATTTCAAAATGTTTTAGCATTTCTTCAACTCTTTATATTTTTGAATTCCTTAAGATACAAACAAAAAGGAAAATGATACAAATAATAACTATATAACTTAAAATCAAATAACAAATTTTGAAAAACATTTTTTTATAATAATTTAATTTAATGCGCATTAAAACATTTTTTTTTTCTTAAATTTAAGTGCCAGATTCACTTAGGTTTCGTTACTAAAATTACTAATATATAAATTGTAAATTAATACTAATAAAGTCATATCAAGGAGAAAAAAGATGTAAAATATTAACTCTCTCTTACTTTCAATGGCACCAATTAATACAAATTCAGTTTTGTTCATTTTTTTATGATTATTTTTTTATGGTTCTATCAGCTTATATTAAGTTAGCAGTACCATTGTTTTCTTGAAAATGACACAATATAAAATTGTTCTTGATAGTACAAATTAATATAAGTCCAATTCTATTGATTTCTGATTTTCTGTAATTTTTCTCTTTTCCTTTTATTTCAAATTGATGCTGCCAACATAATGTTAAGCTAGCAGCGTCACATTTTTTTTTCGAATTTGCACGCAGTATAAAATTGTCATTAATAGTATAATTTAGTATAAATAATACTAAATATTCTGATAGATTCGATTTGATTTTGCTGATTTGGTCCTGTCACTGTATAAAGCTAGATAATCTTATTAAGTTATATCCGTCAAAATTATTGCCATATCTATATTCTGCTAATTAGATTAAATTTCCATTAATATAAAAGCTAATGAGAGGTTAATAGTTACCCCGCTAAATTCTAATATTTACACACGATTCACGTCAGTCAACTCAAAGATATGCTATAGGTAAAATGTGTTGAAGCAAATAGGTGAAATGGACAATTATGTATCAAGGCTGTGAAGCCGTATAGTATCATTATTTCTTTAGTTATGTCTATAATAGGGATCGTCGGAGCAGGTATCGAGTTCTTTACTAGTCAGTGCATATTTCACATACTCACCATCAGGTAATGCTCCCAGAGACCACATAAAATCTATAAGGAAAAACAAACTCGATTAAAATGTAGTTTCGACATAGACTAATATATATTTCTGAATATTTGTTTATTTATTTTCATCAATTCTTTTTTCCTTTCGATTTTTTTCCCCTTTATTTATATTGCATGTTCGTTAGTGCAACGATTTCAAGTCTCCATCAAAATTTCTGCAACTACATACGAAGAAAGATATTGATCGCTCGAAAAACTTACAAAATAAGCTACGTGTCAGAAATAAAGTTTCCAAATGTCAATTATTTCCGCGAAGTTTTATATGTCGCAAGACCAATATTTTTCTTCGAGCAGGCGAAGGTAGGCGTAAACATTTAAGAATATGTACACGGAGATAAGTTAAGTATGAAGCGAAGCGTTGCAGAAATTCGTCGGGATTTAAGTGTAACGGATGACTAGGTCCAAACGATAAAAGAGAACGTAAAAAAAGAAAGAAAAGATAAGAAATAGGGTTAAAAGCTTTCTAGGTTAAATAGAGAGAATTATGAGAAAATTAGTGAAAGAGAGAAAGAGAGTGAGAGAGAGAGAGAGAGAGAGAGAGAGAGAGAGAGAGAGAGAGGGAGGGAAAGAGAGAAAGAATGAGAGAAATAGAATGATAGAGAGATCAAGGCATTCATGAAATTTCATAATTCGATACTAATCCAAAAGACCACACAACTAAGATTCTCACTATGTATATATGTATATCGCATCGACTATATAGCGCATTTTCTAAACTGTGTGACAAGGTACTAGGTAACTACGCGCGGCCGAGGTGTTTCCAATTCTACGACAAAATAAACCCTCCTATGAACTATGGTTATTGTAGCCGTCAAAGGTATTGGTTAATTATTTACCGTTAAGTAATATTTGCTAGGCTCTCTATATAGCTTATTAGATATCGACTAAGGGTCGGTAATATGCCACCACCTGAATGTCTTCCGCAAATGATAAATTTGCAGAATGATTGAATACGCACATTAATAACGTGCTATACTTTTATTTTTCTATTTCATGTCGTGTGTACGTGTGCGTGGCATAGCACCGGCACCACTACTCACATTTATATTGACGATACAATATTGAAAAAAACACTGACCACAATAATACTACACTACTAGACTCACTATGCTAGTATCCATATCGACGTTGCTCTCACAATATTACGCAGATGGAAAAAAGTATAAGAGCGTTTATTCTAGCCATTAAAATACACTGATACATATTAATAGTATTAGTAATTTCGTACCTAAAGTCTCTCTACCGGGCTGGTTTTGATTACGTCAAGCGCTCAATGGTATTTTACTATCATTTTGCACTCTTTTTCTCTGTCTTAATGGCTTTCTAAACTCTTCCGAGCTACAATAAGATTGCATGTACGTCGAGCACTATCTCGCATTTATCTCAATAGAATCATTTGCAGCATTGTATAGATATATATGTATATATATCTTTGTCACACTTCATCGAAATACGTGAATAGATCTCGACGATACTATATTAATAATTCTTGCGCGAATTACGCGCGTGCTTTTCTATATAGCATCTACGTATACACCCTTAACTTTCTCAGATGCAACATATCGATCTCACGTAGAGCAGACGTTTACGTACGACGTATTAATATTAACAGTCTCTCGCAGTTCCGAGGAGCGCATAAAGCCTGTCTCAGCTCGAGTTTACGATCGAGTTGCCGGTCGATTAACGTTTACGTCACATCGATGGCTTCGGCAACGTGGAATTCATTGAGCTACTCTCACTAGAATTTTATGTTTCCCCTTTGATGTGCATGTCCCGTCTTGGACAAGGAGAAACATTCGCGAGGCCGTGTATCAGGAATGCATTCCGTCGAATCGTTCTGCGCCCCCGTTATAAATTATGTAAGACATCAGCGGATACTCTATATTCCCGTAAAACTCAAAATCAACTGGCCCAGCCAAGTGTCACAAAGACCAACCAATAAAATCGCACCATCAAAGTCTGGTCTACTTACGAAACTGACAGTGTTGCGCCTCTCTGGCTAAGTACGTACTTTCTAGGACACACGTCTCACGCATTATTATCAAGGTAAATGATGCTATGCGGCTTAAGAAGAGTTAAGTACTATGTAACGAGTAATATATGAGTGGGATATACGGGAGCTGAGGTATTAGGTATAGATAGGTATACGCACGATATATATTTAGTATATATCCTATATATATATATATAGAGAGAGAGAGAGGTATAATATTACGTGTAACGTAATATAAATGTAACTATGTAACGTAGCTCGTTAAGTAATAGGTACAATATAATAGGTCTCTTTGAAGCCGCTGGTAATGCGTATTCTTCGCGGAAGACGTTTGAGCACCGCGCTTTATCTCGCTTCTCTCGCGAATTATTTTGCGGAAGGAAACATGAGTGGAAATGTTACGACGGAGGCCAAATGCCTTCCCTGCGAACAATTCTTCGTCGACGAACGGACGCGAGTGCGCGATCTTCCGCGAAGATGAGCGCCTAAAGTATAATCTAAGCTAACGATATCATAGTGACTTCCCAAAAGCTATAGTCCACTAGTAGTCTCAACGATAGGAACGTGTACATAGTATATTAATTCGTTTAAAACTGATTCGCTCTAACTAATCGAACCTAGAACGCCTAGTCTCAATAATGTCTAAGGTCTGATAACAACACAAATGTTTACCTAATTACCTAGATATGTAGAGATAGATAGATATATAGGTTCCGATATGTATATCTGTTTGATCTATTACAAAAAAACTATAAGGTGTAATGCGGCTCTCACAAAATATATCGATATTAATATCAAATGCTATGGCGTTACCAAATAGGTAAGATACAAAACAATAACGTATATATCGTCTGGCGTAATCTATAATGGATCGTTAGGTACATATTAATATGGAGTGCCCGAAAACCACTAATACATGTATTATTTATATTTTTTTACAACTTTATTGTGAGGCTGCCGTTTGTCATACGATGTAATATTACTGTAATATTTTAAATTCCAATGTAAAACGATAATTCAGCCCCGAATAATAATTTTCTACTCATACTTAAAACTTACATGTTTTTATCAATTTATATTTTTAGAATCTCTTTCTTTCTCAAAATTATTCAAGCTTTTCTCTCTGATTTGATTTCTTAATGTTAATGAGTCATTACCGTTAGTTTTGGGACACCCCATATAAGAATAGAATATAAATATATTATACGTATATATATATATATA